GGTACTTTCTGTGATCATACACAAATCTGTCATCATCATGTCCTACTTCATCTTTTTATCCAGTGTCAAAATGGAAAGGAAAGGCTGCTTGGAACAAGGACTAAAAGGAAAACAAGCCATGATTATTGGAGGTGGTCAGCTTCAGCTTTTTTAAAGGAAACTCCCATTTTCACCTTTCCAGAGGGCTCTATGGCAAATTGTTTATTCAGCTTCAGGACTCATCTGAAGTTTAGATTAAGAATTAGTGGAGAAGTAAGAATGGCATTGAAGTGTATCTTGAACCTGTCTGCTTAATCCCTGCTCCCCACTAAATCATCTTTCGTCTCTCTCAGTCTGATCCACTTTTGAGAAAGAGGATCCATTAGGGCATCCCCTGGAGAGACCCTCCTCTCTTGTCCTCCTGGCTCTGCTTGGAGACTCTTGAGAAGCCGGCCCACTGCACAGAGTTTCTCCGCCTTCTCTGGGACTTTTCTGGCAGATCTAGCTGGCCTGAGACAACCCCTTTCCCAGGCTGTATGTCTTGCCTTGAACTGTCAAGGGGCCTTTGTGAAATGTGAGATAGTATTTTGAAAGAGGTAGATTTGGCAACAGACACACTGGGTTCCAGTCCAGCTGCAGGACTAAGGGCTCCATCCTGGCTGTAATAACCCCCCTCGGTTATGACAACGAACTAGTCAAGGGAAAATGAGATTTAAAGGGCCCCTTTACCCCATCTGATGGCAGATCCTCTGTGTGCTGCTCAGAGAGCCTGACGGGCAGCTAACCAGAAAGCAGCTCATAGTTGTCTTTGGCCGGGTTGTCTCTAGCCCATCATCCCTTTTCCTCCGGCGGCCATCTGTGAGATTCCTTTTCTTTCTGCAGAGACTTTCTGGGAGCTTGGCAACTGGACTCACTGTTCTGCCACGTGCGGCCACTTGGGAGCCCAAGGTCAGAGACCCCAGTGCCTGATGGCCAATGGGAGGAAGTGAGCGAGGCCTTCTGTGACCAGCTCCAGGAGCCACGGGACATCCTGTAACCACAGGGAGCCACAGGGACAGCGCCGTAACATCCGGGGCTGCCCCCCGAGGTGTGTGCAGTCACTCTTCTCTCCTTGCTACCAGGGTTTGACTTGTTTTAAATGCACAGTAATTCGGACTGAGTGACTCAACCACTAAGGTTTGTTTTATGTGGACTGTACTTGGTGCTCAGCTAAGTAGTCTATGTGGATCACTTCACAGTCATCTATCAAGTCAATATTGTTCTTTATTTTATTTCTTTCTTTTTTTTTTTTTTTTGGTTATGCTACACTGCGTAACCAACCAGGGATTGAACCCAAGTCCCCTGCACCGGAAGCTCAGAGTCTTAACCACTGGACCTCCAGGGATGTCTCCAGTGTTGTTCATTCTCTATTATACAGTTGGAAAAACTCTCCTAGGCCACACAGGTAAGAGGGCCAGAATTCAAATCAGGTTAGTCCGATTTCAGAGCTTCTGGTCTTAACTGCCACTCTAACCTGCTCCCTGCACTCACAATGGACCTTAAGAGCATAGGAAAGCTGACTTCATGGGTTCACCTCAGAGATATGGCAGTAGGCCAGCATCACAAGAGGCACTCGTGAGAAGCACCATTCCTTAGACTCTACCCCCCACGGGTGGTGGTGTTATCCAGTCGCCTGTCGTGTCTGACTCTTTGTGATCCCATAGACTGTAACATGCCAGGCCTCCCTGCCCCTCACCATCTCTTGGAGTTTGCCCAAGTTCATGTTCACTGCATTGGTGATGCCGTCTAGACATCTCATCCTCTAATGCCCTCTTCTTCTGCCTTACGTCTTTCCCAGCATCAGGGAATTTTCCAATGAGGCATCTGTTCTCATCAGGTGACCAAAATGCTGTAACTTCAGCTTCAGCATTAGTCCCTCCAGTGAATATTCAGGTTGATCTCCCTTAAGATTGACTGGTTTGCTATCCTTGCTATCCAGAGGACTTTCAGGAGTCTTCTCCAGCACCACAGTTCAAAGGCATCACTTCTTTGGTGTTCTGCCTTCTTTGTGGTCCAGCTCTCACAACTGTACATGCCCACTGGGAAGACCACAATCTTGACTATACGGACCTTTGTTGGCAGAGTAATAATGTCTCTGCTTTTCAACACACTGTCTAGGTTTCTCATCGCTTTCCTGGCAAGAAGCAGTCCTCTTCTGATTTCATGGCTACAGTCACCATCCACAGTGATTTTGGAGCCCAAGAAGAGGAAATCTGTCACTACTTCCACTTTTCCCCCTTCTATTTGCCATGCAGCAATGCAGCCAGATGCCATGATCTTAGTTTTTTTTTTTTTTTACTATGTAGTCTTAAACTGGCTCTTTCACTCTGCTGCTTCACCTCTTAAGTTCCTCTTCACTTTCTGCCATTAGAGTGGTATCATCTGCATCCCCAGGGGTAAGGCCATTAATAACCTTTCAATATCATAGATGACACAAACCAATAGTTTTAAAATTATCCAAAATCAAACTCATAATCTCCACCAAATCTGATCTGCCCCTAGTTAGTGTTCCAGATCACAATGACTACATCCTAAGCTACCCACCCCTCTTTCCTCTCACTGCCATCCATTCCTGTCAGTTTCCCACTGTTCCCAATGTCTTTGTCATTCCTCGTATGGGCCACATCAGGAGCCTCCTGAGTTTGTTTCCTCTCTAGAGTGCCTTGTCCACTCTATAAGCAGAAACATCTTTTACTTATTTTTATTGGAGGATAGTTGCTTTACGATGTGTTTCTACTGTAGAGCAAAGCTAGTCAGTCACGTGTATACACACATCCCCTCTTTTCTGGATTTCCTTCCCATTTAGGTCACCACAGCATGCTGAGTAGAGTTCCCTGTGCGATACAGTAGCTTTCATTAATTATCTGTTTTATCCACAGTAGTGTATATGTCAGTCCCAGTCTCCTAGTTCGTCTTCCCAGATGGCGCGAGTGGTGAAGAATCTGCCTGCCAATGCAGGAGCTGCAGGAGACAGGTTTGATCCCTGGCTTGGGAAGATCCTCTGGGGGAGGAGATAGCAACCCACTCCAGTATTCTTGCTTGGAAAATCCCATGGACAGAGGAGCCTGGTGGGCTACAGCCCATGGGGTTGCAAGAATCAGACACGTCTGAGTGACCAAACAACACCAACAAGGAGCACCCAGGTGCCTCCTCCTTTTTTCTTCCCTTTGGTTTCAATGAGTTGAAATTCACCTTTCCAAAATTTCCACCTGATTTTTCCCTATCTCTGCTCTCTGAGGCCACACAGCTGATGGCTCTTACCTCCCTGAGGACGGCTTTATCCCACCCTGATGCTATTGTGTCTGCACGGTGATTCTGTTGCTTCTGAGTGGAAGGAGATCTGAGAGTATGGCTGGAGTTACTGTGCTGCTGCCCACTCGCAGAGACATGTGTCGGCCCTGAAGCAGTCATACTGCTGGGATAGGCTTTCTCTCTGGAAGGCAGTCCCCATAGGGACCGTCCTACTAAGCTCCTGTAGTTTTTGTTCTTAGGTGGCTCACAGGCACGTGGGCAGAGTGCTCTGTGTCTTGTGGTGAAGGATTCTGCAGTTGGCAAGTGACATATAAGCACACAAGAGCCAATGGAATGGTGCAGGCGTTGCTGCTGAGTGCATCCCCTGAGACAGGCCTCTGGGGAGAAGACCCTGTTCCAGGCACCCCTGTGTTCAGGGGCTCGTTGAACAAGGGAACCAGGTAATGCTGACAAATGTAGTGTTTTAAAATCATCCAGGCCCTGTGGTCAAACCCAGACATCCAAAAAGGGACTTCCCCTGGCATTCCAGTGTTAGGAATTTGCCTTCCAATGCAAGGGATGTGGGTTCCATCCTTGGTCAGGGAACTAAGATCCCACATGCCATGAGGCCAAGACATAAAACAAGCAATGTTGTAACAAAACCTCACCCATCAGGGCCCCTCCCCACAGCGGAGAGGAGAGCACTGACTCCTGCAGGACATTCAGGAAACTCATCTGCACAGGTAGCTGACCACACCACACACCGGCTGGTTCAGGGGACTTACTCACCTATCCTAGACCTCCTGGTCATCATTAACACAGGCTGCCAAGATCAAAAGTTCCCCTCAGCCCTTCTGAAAATGTTCAGTATTGTCAGTGTGGGAGAATAATATACTCTTTCTGCATTTCTGCCCTGCAGTGCAGCAGCTGTTGCTCTTGAGAATCATTGTACTAATTCTTAGGTCATTAACTCCGAGTCCTACATGACTACACATTTCTCTAACTGGAGAGGATGCAAAACAGATGGAGATACATCTTTCTGGAGAAATAAAGTTTATGAAAACTATGTAGAACCAAGGAGTTGGCAAGAACATGGAGGGGGGAGTGTGGGGGTAGGGGGACGTCCCCTGGATGGAGAGTCCAGCCTGTGAAGCTTCACCCAGTGGTGGAGGAGGGGCAGCTGGGTCAGGGTGACGCCTCTTCAGGTCTCCCAGGCCACTCCAGACCATCCTCTGAGCAGGCCAGGGCTCCTGAAGGCCGTGGAGGTCCTGGGTTTGAATCCCATAGTCCAGTTGACTGTGTGCCAGGGAGCTCGGTAGGGCTCCTTTTGTCTTGGTCAGTCATCCATGGGTTGTTCTGGGCCTGATTTATTTGTGTGGTATTGCTGGGCAGTCCACAGCAGCAATATTTTCTAAACCTCCATATTCTCCCAGCCATGCCCCTCTTTTTCTTTCTGAGGCCAGAGGGAGTGGCTGGGGAGTGGGACTGCCCGGCTTGGTCGGAGCTTCCGGCAGTGTTGCCCACACTGAGGGGGCAGTGGGTTCCCTCTGGGGCTTTGCTGCTGATGCCACGGGTACTGCGGGTGTGCCGGGTGCCGCTCTTGTCCCGGGTGCCGCTCTTGCTGCAGGTGTCACAGGTGCTGCTGGTGTCTCGGGTGCCACTGGTGTCTCGGGAGCCGCCGTTGTCTGAGGTATCGCTGGTGTCTCGGGTGCCAGTCGTGTCCCAGGTGCCGCTCTTGCCGTGGGTGCCCCTCATGCTTTGGGTGTCCTGGGTGCCACTGGTGTCCCGGGTGCTGCTCGTGTCCTGGGTGCCGCTGGTGTCTTGGGTGCTGCTCTTGCCGTGTCACTGGTGCTCCTCTTGCCATGGGTGCCACTTTTGCTGCAGGTGTCATGGGTGCTTTTGGTGTCTTGGGTGCTGCTCTTCCCGCGAATGTCCCGGGTGCCACTGGTGTTCTGCACTGTCACCTCCAAGTCCTCTTCACAGAGTGGCTGGAGTGGCTCCTTCTCATCCATCTTGACCCATAGATGCTGCCGAAGATGGGGTAGAGTAGCTCTGGTTGTCGGGTCAAGGGTCAGCATGCTTGCTGTTAATGTTCTTATTTCTTTTGATAGGTCGTCGGGCACATAATAATGCCCTGTGAGCACACTCTGCTTCGTCTCCTGGTAGTCTCGTCCTTGGAAGGGTTCAAACCCAGTCACCATGATGTACAGAATAACACCAAGGCTCCACACATCCACAGGCAGGCCTAAATACATCAACTCCAGGAAGATCTCAGGGGCTGTAAAGACAGGGGTGCCGCAGAATGTACCTAACTTCTCTCCAGGGCAGTAATCATAGCTCAGAGTGAAGTCTGCAGTCTTCACATTGTGGTCCACATCAAGGAACAAGTTGCTTGGTTTCAGGTCCCAGTGCACGATGCCCCACTCATGGCAGTGGTTCAGGGCCAATAGGAGCTGCCGGAAGAGCTGTTGGGCCTCCTGCTCCATCATGCGGCCCTGGTCATCCAGGTAGGCTTGCATGTCTCCCCGGCTCATGTACTCCAGAACCGTGATGGTTGAATCTTCCGTGTCAATGACATTGAGGACTTTCACTATATTTTCATGATTTAACAGCTGCGTATGTCTCCTCTCACACATGAACCCTAGGACGTAGTGGAATTTCAGTTTGCGTTTCTTTATTACCTTAAGGGCCACCTCGGTCCCGGCCACAACATGCCAGGCCAGCAGAACTGTAGCATGCCATCCTTCTCCAATAGTGTGGACAATTTCATAATTCTCTATTTGAGTTTGTTTATTTGAACACCTGGCCATTAGGTCCTGCATGGTGGTAAACCCTAACTACTCTACCAGTTAACTGCTCTACCAGCTAACTACTCTATGCCAACTAAAGAAACAAACTCTGTCTATGACAACTAAACTAACAAATGCTAACTATGACAACTATACTAGCAACAAAACTATGCCAACTATACTAATGCTAACCATGCCAACTATACTAACAGGGTGAACTATGCCAAATACACTAACAATGCTAACTATGCTAATACTACCTATACTAACTATGCTAATAAACTATTAACTATACAAAATATGCTCACTGTACCAATGATACTAACTATACTAATACTAGCAGCACTAACTAAAAAAATAAAAATAAAAGATAAAATGTGAACAAGAATTAAAGGGTGGAATGGAAAAAGAAAAATAAGAAAATGATACAAAGAAAAACTCTACAAATGAGAAAAACTAAAAAAAAAAAGTATGAAAAGAGAAGTAGAACTAAGGAGGAAAAAAAAAACCAAAATGGGACAAAACAAAAGAAAAAATAAAAAGAAAAAATTTTTAAATGAGAAACACTGAAATGATAAAAATGAAGAAAAAACTAAGAGAAAAAAACAGAAAATGATGGAAAAAACAAAATGAAAGAAAAATGAGAAAAAGGGGAAAAATTTTAAATTAAGAAAAGGCAAAGAAAAATGAGAAAAATAAAAAAGAGGAGAGGAAAAAAAGGAAAAATACAATCAACAGAATGGCAAAAACACAGGAAAAAAACACGCTAACTGTGGGTCCAGCCGTCAAGTACCAGTATCAGCTTCCTGGGCTCTAAGGACCAAAAACCTGGGGCCAGCTGGGCTCTTATATAAGGTTTTTAGTGAGTTTCATCACAGTTGTGCCCTGTGAGGACAGAGCAGGAAACAGACCAATCATGACTGAGGATAAATCTTAATGGTTTTCTCCCTTTTCAGGTTCAAGGCACCTTTACACTTAGGAAAAAGGGTCCTAAAGAGATTTTTCTTTATATGTGCTATGAGAGACTGGTATTCACTTTCTTAGAAATTGAAAGCTGTAAAACTCTTCAGCAGCCTTCCCATGTCTAGTTTGAAAATCAGTAATGATGTTAAGGACCTCATAACGTCTACACTTGCAATATTCAATTCCTTTTCCTTAAACTCTGGTCTCAAAATAAAGTGACCATTTAAATGAACTTGACTATACTATCAGAAACTGTCCTGTTGCATGTGACACTCATAAGGCACATAATTAATGTCTGCAAAGCTGAGAGATTTTCTGGGAGGATCATGAACAGATTTCTCATTGGGAGCCTCAGAGGCCAGATGACATGGGTCAGTGTATTTGAAGTGTTGAAGGGAAAGAAGCTGTCAACCAAGAATCCTATGTGTGGCAAAACTGTCCTTCAAAAATGAAGGAGAAATTAAGACATGCCCAGTTTGTAAGAGTTGAGGGAGTTCTGCCTCAGCACGGAGGAGTGCAGGATTTTTGACAATAACTCAAAGTCTTATGAAGAGATAAAGATCTCCAGTAAAAATAGATAGATGGGTGACTAGAAAAGCTCATGCTACACTGCTGTAATTAAAACAGATAACCAGCAAGGTCCTACTACGTAGCACAGGGAACTCTGCTCAATGCTCTATGTCAGCCTGGATGGGAGGGGAGTTTGGGGAAGAATGGATACATGTATGTGTATGGTTGAGCCCCTTTGCTGTCCCCCTGATACTATCACAACATTTTTGTTTGTTTGTTGGTTGTTTGTTTTTAATAAAATCTGTTTTATTTATAAAATAAGAACAACTCAGCTTCATGACATATAACCCATAGGCCTTGGTGCCTGTCCTCCGTTTAGCCCTTTGGTTCAGTTTACTTCAGTCACTCAGTCGTGTCAGACTCTTGCGACCCCATAGACTGCAGCACGCCAGGCCTCACTGTCCATCACAAACTCCCGGACCTTGCTCAAACTAATGTCCATCGAGTCAGTGAAGTCATCAAACTATCTCATCCTCTGTCGTCCCCTTCTCCTCCTGCCTTCAATCTCTCCCAGCATCAGAGTCTTTTTCAGTGAGTCAGTTCTTTGCATCAGGTGGTCAAAATATTGGAGTTTCAGCTTCAACATCAGTCCTTCCAATGAATATTCAGGACTGATTTCCTTTAGGATTGACTGGTTTGATCTCCTTGCAGTCCAAGAGACTCTCAAGAGTCTTCTTCAACACCACAGTTCCAAAGCATCAATTCTTCGACCCTCAGTGAGAATCCAACTCTCACATCCATACATGACTACTGGGAAAACAATAGCCTTGACTACACGGACCTTTACTGACAAAGTAATGTCTCTGCTTTTTTTTTTTTTTTTCATTTATTTTTATTAGTTGGAGGCTAATTACTTTACAATATTGTAGTGGTTTTTGTCATACATTGACATGAATCAGCCATGGAGTTACATGTATTCCCCATCCTGATCCCCCCTCCCACCTCCCTCTCCACCCAATTCCTCTGGGTCTTCCCAGTGCACCAGGCCCGAGCACTTGTCTCATGCATCCCACCTGGGCTGGTGATCTGTTTCACTATAGATAATATACATGCTGTTCTCTCGAAACATTCCACCCTCGCCTTCTCCCACAGAGTCCAAAAGTCTGTTCTATACATCTGTGTCTCTTTTTCTGTTTTGCATATAGGGTTATAATTACCATCTTTCTAAATTCCATATATATGTGTTAGTATACTGTAATGGTCTTTATCTTTCTGGCTTACTTCACTCTGTATAATGGGCTCCAGTTTCATCCATCTCATTAGAACTGATTAAAATGAATTCTTTTTAACGGCTGAGTAATATTCCATTGTGTATATGTACCACAGCTTCCTTCTCCATTCATCTGCTGATGGGCATCTAGGTTGCTTCCATGTCCTGGCTATTATAAACAGTGCTGAGATGAACATTGGGGTGCACGTGTCTCTTTCAGATCTGGTTTCCTTGGTGTGTATGCCCAGACGTGGGATTGCTGGGTCATACTGGCAGTTCTATTTCCAGTTTTTTAAGAAATCTCCACACTGTTTTCCATAGTGGCTGTACTAGTTTGCATTCCCAGCAACAGTGTAAGAGGGTTCCCTTTTCTCCACACCCTCTCCAGCATTTATTGCTTGTAGACTTTTGGATAGCAGCCATCCTGACTGGCGTGTAATGGTACCTCATTGTGGTTTTGATTTGCATTTCTCTGATGATGAGTGATGTTGAGCATCTTTTCATGTGTTTGTTAGCCATCTGTATGTCTTCCTTGGAGAAATGTCTGTTTAGTTCTTTGGCCCATGTTTTGCTTGGGTCATTTATTTTTCCAGAGTTGAGCTGGAGGAGTTGCTTGTATATTTTTGAGATTAATCCTTTGTCTGTTGCTTCATTTGCTATTATTTTTCTCCCAATCTGAGGGCTGTCTTTTCACCTTGCTTATACTTTCCTTTGTTGTGCAAAAACTTTTAAGTTTCATTAGGTCCCATATGTTTATTTTTGCTTTTATTTCCAATATTCTGGGATGTGGGTCATAGAGGATCCTGCTGTGATGTATGTCAGAGAGTGTTTTGCCTATGTTCTCCTCTAGGAGTTTTATAGTCTCTGGTCTTACATTTAGATCTTTAATCCATTTTGAGTTTATTTTTGTGTATGGTGTTAGAAAGTGTTCTAGTTTCATTCTTTTACAGGTGGTTGACCAGTTTTCCCAGCACCACTTGTTAAAGAGGTTGTCTTTTTTCCATTGTATATCCTTGCCTCCTTTGTAGAAGATAAGGTGACCATAGGTTCGTGGATTTATCTCTGGGCTTTCTATTCTGTTCCGTTTATCTATATTTCTGTCTTTGTGCCAGTACCATACTGTCTTGATGACTGTGGCTTTGTAGTAGAGTCTGAAGTCAGGCAGGTTGATTCCTCCAGTTTCATTCTTTCTCAAGATTACTTTGGCTATTCGAGGTTTTTTGTATTTCCATATAAATTGTGAAATTATTTGTTCTAGTTCTGTGAAAAATACCGTTGGTAGCTTGATAGGGATTGCATTAAATCTATAGATTGCTTTGGGTAGTATAGCCATTTTGACAATATTGATTCTTCCAATCCATGAACACGGTATATTTCTCCATCTGTTTGTGTCCTCTTTGATTTCTTTCATCAGTGATTTATAGTTTTCTATGTATAAGTCTTTTGTTTCTTTAGGTAGATATACTCCTAAGTATTTTATTCTTTTTGTTGCAATGGTGAATGGTATTGTTTCCTTAATTTCTCTGTTTTCTCATTGTTAGTGTATAGGAATGCAAGAGATTTCTGTGTGTTAATTTTATATACTGCAACATTACTATATTCGTTGATTAGCTCTAGTAATTTCCTGGTAGAGTCTTTAGGGTTTTCTATATAGAGGATCATGTCATCTGCAAACAGAGTTTCACTTCTTCTTTTCCTATCTGGATTCCTTTTACTTCTTTTTCTGCCCTGATTGCTGTGGCCAAAACTTCCAAAACTATGTTGAATAGTAGTGGTGAGCGTGGGCACCCTTGTCTTGTTCCTGATTTTAGGGAAAATGCTTTCAATTTTTCACCATTGAGGGTAATGCTTGCTGTGGGTTTGTCATATATAGCTTTTATTATGTTGAGGTATGTTCCTTCTATTCCTGCTTTCTGGAGAGTTTTAACCATAAATGGATGTTGAATTTTGTCAAAGGCTTTTTCTGCATCTATTGAGATAATCATATGGTTTTTATCTTTCAATTTGTTAATGTATCACAACATTGTTAATCAGCTATACTCCAGTATAAAATCAGAAGTTTAAAAAAATGAAAATCTAGTACTATTAAACTTTGGTTTGTAGCACTACTTTTTGTTTTCAATTTGATTTGAGACTCAGTTCAGTTCAGTCACCAAGTCGTGTCCGACTCTTTGCGACCTCATGAATCGCAGCACGCCAGGCCTCCCTGTCCATCACCAACTCCCAGAGGTTACTCAAACTCATGCCCATCGAGTCAGTGATGCCATCCAGCCATCTCATCCTCTGTCGG